TTATTGTATTTTATATTAAAATACATTTTACATTATGCATATACATTTTAAATGATGCAATACACCGTACTGGTGTGTCAGAAAACTGGGTTCAAACCTTAGTGAAACATAATTTAAACTGTGAAATTATGAAATTATGATCTCTAAAAAACTGTACTCAGTGTTTTCTACTTCGACCTTCCTTCACTCGCCATCATTAGTAAGGTAACATATTATTATTATAATGAAAAAATAAGAATGTAATGAGAAATTGTATACGTTCCACGATGTTATACCGTTGTACAAAGGAACCTACTCAACTCCTCCCCGATTTTTTCCCCTTGAGATGAGCCCATTATGGTCAACGAGTTCCTACGAGTATTTTTGATCATAAAAAGTCAGGAGCTCGTAATATGTAGCAATTTCTAGGCGGAAAATCTTTCCGATGTAGTGAACAAAATATGATAGGCGATATTGATTAGTAAGAGAATTTTTTTTGTAACTCACAGAGCAATGCACCATTTGCAGTTTGGGATTTCTGATTATCATGTTAAAGCACCAAATCTTTTAAATTTAAGAGGTGACACTATATTTTATAATATACGTGAGTGTGTTTTTAAATCAACTATTTCCAAAGTAAGTACGTATGTATAAAATAATATTTTAAACTTATACAACTTTTAATTGTACACAAACCATAATTTTTACTTATTACGTGTACATTTGCATGTTATTCGTTCTTAAAAAAAATATGTGCAAAAAATATGTATATATTTTGAGTTTATGTTTTTAAAGAAATATTAATTAGACACTTCGTTAATTATATAATTGAGTAATATATAGATAAACTATACGAGTAAAGTTTATGTAACAAGTTAGACAACTTAGTATTAAAAATCCACCAAATTTGAATGTTTAATTACATTTCTCCAACTTTTAATCTTCAAACAAATATACTGTCAAGGAATAGAAGTCTAAAAACAAAAAAATACAAATAAACAGACATAATACATATAGACACTTGATGTTCATATAATATGTTGTGTAACTACTTTGCTTAAATCAACACGAGGACATAATACATATAGTACTTTAATTTTATTTAACAATACTATATATTGTCACTTATGAAAAAATGTTTTTTATTATATATTTGTAGTCTTCAGCTGTCTATATGTTTATAACTATATAAATATAAATTATTTATGGAAATACTAGGTATTTATATTATATATCACAAGTTTTAATCAAATGTATCTAAAATAATTAACTTTGTATGAAAATTAGTCTATTTAATTTCATCCAATCAACGGGAGGTGGAACAATTTCTCATTGTGAACGTTTCATTCTTAAAATAATAACTACAACTATTATACAACTCGGCTGGCGAGGAGGGAGGGTGTAAAAAAATCTTACACTTTTATACTGAATAATGAAAAACGTTTGGATAGTTTACATTTTATATTATAGTACAGTGCTTTAGCAACTCAATTCTACAGTTTTTATTTGTTTAATTTTATATTTTTCTACTTTCAACCTCACATTATAAAACGCAATATAATTTTGTGCACAGCATTTTTCATTTTTATGAAACGCTAGTTTTGTACACACACACTGTTAATTTACATCTTATTTATATTTTGAATTCTGCAACCTTTGTTTATCTTTACGTTTATGTTTTACTTGTCACAATTTGTATGGATTTGTAAACAAGAATAAAATAACAAATTCAAGAAAATACACAATGAATGATAACTATTTCAAAAATTGTTTAAAAGAAATATTATGAAAATATTTAAGTTTAACGGGTGTATTATTGGGGAAACAATTAAGTACCATTATGGAAGGAGACAAATTGACATGTTCGGGCAAGTTCTAAGTTGTTTTAGGTCCACTAGATTTCTAATAGTGTAATTTCAAAATATAAGTGTCATTTTATAATAACTGCCATTATATTATGTATTTATGTGGATATTATGATTTATGAAGTATACTAAAATATAACGAATTAGTACAATACATTTACCAAATGGTACATTTTGTGTGTTTTCAATGAGAAACATTAATAATATATGGCACTTCAGAAATATAGATACATATTTATTAAAAATAAAAAATAAAAAAATAAAGGTATATTTTTAAAAGTATATTACAGTGGGTATTTAATATTGATGTGTTTTTGTTCAAACATTGAATAGGTTGAACTGTTCTATTTAATGCATGTATATAGTATAACACTCTATAATAAATAGTCTTAAAAATACATTGTTTCAAAAAATTAAAAACTAAGTATTGAATCCGTCCAAATTCCGATGAAAGTTATTTTGTAATACTGCCTATATTGTTATAGTTGAATTTGCGGTGTTGCCAAGCAACGAGATTTTAAGTTCTAAAGCTGATTGATTTCTAACTGTGCACTCAATACCTGTCTCAAATGCAAGTCCCTTGAAAGGGGATTATGTTTATATAAGTTGATTCCTCAAGTCTTTTATTTGAAATGAAGTAACTGACTGAAGTATAGTACCTATGAATAAGCTATTCTACAGTACGACCAAGCTTAATTTCGATTTCAATTACCTACCAATTTTATTTCCTACTACTTCTCTCACCATAAATGTAAACCACAGTTTCATAAATTTCAATGTTATTCTGCAATGCTACATACGTCTCTTGTGACTTATGTGGTGTGCCTGTGTGGTTACAGAGTGTGTTATAGTTTAAACTCATTCACTGATTATTGTCATTTTTGCCGTATTGTTTCATGCTCGATAATTTAAAAAAAATGAATTATCCACGTACAATATTATGTTATGTTGTATATGACTAGTAAAAACAATGAAGTACTTCCTATTTTTTTTTATTTTGTACATTGATTTAAAAAAAGATTACCAATATAGTAATTCGAATCTCTGAGGAAATTGAGAACTAGGTACAATGCAATATCCTCATCATTTAACAGATCTCAATTTTTCATTTCCTCGGAAATTTTCTAATTTAAGCTAATCTCGAGATTGAACACGGAAAAAAATAACTTACTGGACAAATCAAAATATTATCTTAAGTAGGAATGTAAATTTAAAACTAATAACTTTTCTCTATTCTATTCCATATAACTGACAATTGATGCATTATAACATCAACTCGTCGTACTTATCTTATGAAAATAATGATCTTTACTTTTATAACATACTTATAATTTGAATGGATTTATCTTTTAAGAATATTTAAAAAGTTTTTGAATGTTTTTTTCCAAATTGATACTGTTGATTAATCAAAATAAATATCATTCGATTTTCAGGCAAGATTTAAAAAAATATTTGATAGTGCTCCTCTAGAATCCATAACACATGTTAGTACATACGCTTTGTTGTATTATTAATTTTAATTTATGTATCCAACTGGAGAATTACGATATTATATTATTATACTTTATTGAGGTAATTTCTAACGTTTAGAGAGTAAATATTAAATAGTTTAACCACTTAACGATAATAAACTTTTAATTCCTAAAATCATGTTTTATTCGAAGAATTGACTATCGCGGAGACAACTTATCGTCGGAAATAATGTAATATTGTGATATATTTGTAAAGAGATAATATTTTATAATATAATAAGAGTAAAATAACTAATTTATAAAATATAAATAATAATATATAAAATATTTTAAATAATCTATAAACACATTCATAGGTGGGTTAATATTTCATAATCAGGTGACTATTAGGCAAAGTTTACATACAACATACCTTCTAACGAGCCATCAACTATGATTTTTTAAAACTTTAATTGTATTTAAAGTCTTTACCTCGGCAAATTATAATGATTTCTACAATGCAAATAATGTAAGTGAGTATTTTTTAAATGAATTTTCATTACCATCCAGTTCGTGTAGTTAGGTAATACATTTTATTATTTCCTACAGTGTTTCTACAATACACAGGTCACCGACAACAGTTGCTCTCAACAAAGTACAATATTTTATTTAACCAAATTTGCTCAATATATTTAGCATATTAGCGTGAATGGTTTTCTTTACTTATAAAATATATTTCTAAGGGAATTTTTAATTAAAAAACATGAGTTTTTTCATATCCTCTTAAAACTAGAAACGTTTGGTTATTTTTTTTGCCCTTCTAGCTCAATTTCTTTATTGTAACTTGACTCGACTAAATCTAAAGATTCATTTATTTTCATTACACTACTTGGCGCGTAGGTATGGATAAGGACTAACACGTATTTCAAAATAAAAATGTGTCAGGGATCGACTGCCAGCGCCCTCTAGCTCATAACAGCGTATATTTCGCTTGGACCGAGGGTTGGCAGATTTCGCGGTAAGAAACGAAAGTCCGACCACCGAAACATTATATGTTGTTATCGATTGTCCATGACTACACACGTTGAACTCATGTCGTCCGGAGGATAGCGCAACAGGTATGATAACCTGGTATACATTGTACATAATTGTAGGCGCGGTACCTACAGCAAACTACCACGATCTCTTAATAATACAAATAATACGATTCAGGTGTAGTCATTATAATATATAGCCATATAGGTAGGCGCAATGATAACGGAAATAATAATGAGCCATTGTGGCCTACCTTTAGGCGACAGCGATTCGACGTTTCCGAGGAAGAACGGAATAGTGGCGTGCCCCAGGCGGAAATCTAGGGGTTTACCCCCCCCCCCCCCAGTCACATAAAGCCCCTTATTTGTGTCTTTGGTATTACCATCACAATTCATTTAAATCATAAATGCATTGTTACTTATAACATCCCAGACTGATAGAAATTCCTCGGTACGCCACTGGAACTGACCCTGTCTAGTGACAATCCCGTGAACGATCACGGTAAACGAATATAGACGTCTACTTTCTCCGCTAACAGATATGATGAGCATAATATGGTGTGCATTATACCTACATCGCACTACCAGGATTTCTTATTACGAATACGATAATCGGGTGTGATTATTATATCACCTTGGTATGATAACATTAATACGTTTTTGTGACTGACCTTTAGGCGACAGCGATTCGACGTTTCCGAGGTAAAATGGACCTTGTCTGGTGACGATCTCGTGGACGATCACAGCGAACGAATAGACGTCTGCTTTCGGCGTGCCTTCCGGAGGTGGATGTCTGATCCGCAACAATTCCGGGGCGGTCCACAAGAATCCTAAACAATTATACACACTATTAGATATTATTTTAAAAGGTAGTAAAATGTATAGTCCAACCAATTTCACGTTTTCTACTGCAAGATATAATGGGCAGTTAAAACGTACCTATAATAATTTATTGTCATCTAAACATACTTTTAATTAAATTAAACATAAATTATTGTAACTACACTAATACACCATATACATAGTAAAATGTATTAACTACGTTTAATTATTTTTAATTTTAGCACCATAATATATTGAAATCGTTAATTTTAAGTGTTAAATGTACATTTTATGAATAAAAAAAACTTTTTTTTAAGTCGATATACATAATATATTGTATTATCAGTTACTATATTCTACTTAACTGAATTAATTTATCCAATAATAAATAATTAATTATAATAATATTTTATAATCTAAATTAGCTCATGAGTTTGCAGATGGATAATCAAGCGCCAAGTCATAGTAAAAAAGAATAAAAAAAAATCATTTGTAACTACATTATACTATTATAAATTGTAATAATTGTGTATTTTTCCCAAATAAAAAACAAAACAGGTTTTCAAAATTACGTCGTATTTTAATTTTAAGCCGACAGTAAAATAGTAAACTCCAAGCTTCATCATATCATTCATACGCATTATATTTACCATCAACTGAATACTAGTGTACAAAAAACTATCACCCATGTATGCGTATGGTCATGTATCTATATTATGGCATATTTCACTAGGTGTGACAAAGTAAACTATAACACTATAAAAGCATTTCAGAGACCCAGGAAATTTGCCTTAGATACCCTAAGTTTATAACTTAATAATAATGTATACAAAGACCTTGGAGTAGCGCCGCACCAGCATTAAATCATGTAGTAAAAGTATGTCGTTATTATCCTTTCAGTTTAACCTATAAGCTATTTAATTTTTTTTTATAAAATAGCTCCACTGTACAGGACATCGAGAAAATTTCTCTCAAAGTCTCACTGCAACCACTTTGAACATGATATTATTGTGAACTACTAAGCGATGTCCTGCCTTTGTTATTTGAACTACTATAAATCTTTTGTCTCAATGACTTTGCACAGTTCAGATACATAATATTGTTCTAAATTTAGACACCCCAGTGTTATATTTCCCCTCCTACGTTAGAGTTTATACAAACATGGTAAATATGTATGACAGTGTTAGTAGCATAAATGATAATTCAATAACTCTATAAACATAGCCAGAGTCGAGAGTCGAAAATCTATAGTTGTATTTTACGAGAATTTCAAATTTTGAAACAAAATATTATAAATAGAAATTACAAAAAAAAAATTCGTATAAGTTTAATTATTAACATTTATAAAAAAAAATGTATAATTAGTGTGAGATCATAATTATAGCCATCTTTTTACAAGCAAAAATTAAATGATAATAATGTATATACAAAATTTTGTACTTAATTTAATGGATAAATCAGAACTACAAAAGTTTAAAATAATTCAAAACTTTCAAGTTATTTTAATATTTTTTAATATTCATTACACGTACTTACATAATATTATTAAATATTAATACGTCGACGAAGATTTGTGACAGTTTATAAGTTAAAATGTATACCTAACTCAAAAATAAATTTGTTTTCAAGTATTTGTATAAATAGAATAGTAATAAAAAAAAGTTTTGAATTTAACATTTTAAATAATTATATCGCAAGAAAAGTATTCGTAACATGATATCAAATAAAGTTTAGAGAAGTTGCAATACATATATTTTAAGTTTGCATATTATATGTTTTCACGTAATGACATACCTATAGTTGACGACAAATTAATATTTTACTTTTAACTGAACACTAGTCATCATCGCGACTCCATTATTACACATAATAGTTGTTACCTGGTATATTATCCATATTTATTTTTGATACATTTGTAAAATATCATAAGTTAAATTTAATTTAGTTGTAATAAATACAAACTTCGTTTAATTTAATAAGATCGGATACGAGCCTAGCTCAGTTGGTATACCGTATACTTATCAGCTCATAATATATTGATATTATATATTGTATTATAGTTTATAATCGAGTTTGCTAGATAAATAAATTATAAAGAAAAAAATAACTGCAGCATTAACTTTATTCTGCGTAAACGCATAAACGTGTAAAACAATTTGGACAAAATATAGAATTTTATCTTTTAAGTGGGTTAAAACGTACCTATCTAAACATTTTACAAAGACACAACATAATGAGAAAATACAAGTTACGAGAATAATCTGTCAGCGGCATCTAGTAGTTTGTTGTATGGTCGTACATGTCAAATGAAATATGAAACTTTTTAAGTTGTTAGTGTCATCTAAGCTTTTAATCAACTTAACTTTGTAGTTTGTATACTCGTTTTGAATAAATATACTTACACAGTTATACCATTATATTAGGTAGCTATGTAGATTTGTATTATAGTATAATAAATGACCCATAGTATTATATGAGTTATTTTCTAGAATCAAAATACTTAAAAATATCATTCTGACTTCAACTATTTTCAATAAAAATCATTTTTGATACAAACATTGTATTCCAAAGTAATTATATTTAAAATGCATAATGTTAAATTTATTTTTAATTGATTAAGTGTGGAACCTTAGTATAACGCATTAGACGAATACAAAGACAAAAACTTACCTAACTAAATTAAACCGTTTTATTTTATAGCATACATCAAGTAACTTTAATTTTGTAAATATGTATTCATGAGATTTATACAACCTTAAATTCCACTTAACGCGTTGTTTTAAAGAAAATAAATGATTATTACTGTGCAGGACTCTGTGCTTATATTTTTGTATGCACGTGAAATATAAATAAATATACTTATAATATCTCAACTCTCGAGGCGAATTTTGCGGTTTAAGTGAAGTTAATAACAAAATAATATAGTGTGATCCCATCATTTTCGAAATGTTTTTGGAGTAGATGGATATTCAGAGGGCATATCGAATGACGGGATGGAATGCAAAAAATACCGGGGGCCATACCTTCACAAAAAAATTATATAATATATTGTTTATGTAATATTTTTTCTGAAATGTAAACATCATTTTTTACATAGCGTTTCTTTGCATGCAAAGTAAATACTAAAGGGCGGTCGTATCTCGTACTCTTCACCTCTATACCCACATATATTAATCGAACTGAATAAACCTTAGCAGAAAATAACGTCCTATGACGACGAAATTGCTAATAATTATTGCTGTGACGATATATGAGATTTTTTTCAGAAACGATTCAACCATACAGTATTTGCTTTTAATTTTCTCAGCTTGTGGAAACAGGTCCTTAAACTGAGTTCTAAAATAATGAGGGACTCGTAAGACATCAAGCGATTAAAATTGAAAGTAAACTATGACGGACAAAATGTATTAATGAAAAGAGAAACGATTGGATGACGTGTATTGTACCCTGACTACAATTATTTTAACAACATGTTTAATATATACAATTACTATTATTAAAATATATACTTAAAAGTAAGTTAAAGTATTATGTTGTTTGAAATATACAAGACACAAGATTACGATATATTTGATTTTTTTTTAGTTATATATGAACGAAACTCCTAGTATTTCGTATTGTTTTTATAAACTGTTTACTGTATAAAAGTATTAGCCGTGCCTTAAATTATGTATTTTTTTTTGTACTTTAACTCGGCGACTAAGGCCATCAGCTGAATTATATTATTGTTAATTTTCATGTTTGACTGTTTCTTAACCTAGTTAATTTTAGTTATCATGTTTATTAAGTGTATTACTATTTTCCACTGATTTTACTTGATTTAACTATGCTATACGTGTCATTGAGCATTGTTAGTGATATTAGCGTATTAATTTACACCAACATATTAACCAATTAATATCATAAATTACAACAAAATAACAAATATTGCTTTTATAAAAATATCATTGTATTGTTATCATATATTTTTTATAAATAATTGGATACTCAAAACTACTCGTATACGTTTCCTTAAACGAAACTGTAATGTAACACAAACATTTAAAATAAATAATGAAATATTTTTTGAAACAGTTAGTTTACAGTATATTAACTAAATATAAACATAATTTCACAAAATAAATAGACTATGCGCCATAGCGAACTCGGCTAACTGAACATCAACGCATTCCTCCTTCACTTTTTGAATTTCCGTTAAACCACGTTCAGCATCGGTTCGTGTAGAATCGTTATCATCGTTGTAATTGATGAGGTTTATAAGACCCAGATGGATTTATCTATCTTTGAGGGCGGAAAATGCCAAGTCGTAATAACGTATACGAGCTTATAGGTTCTAGTGATGTTGATAATAATAATAATATAGCCATATATTGCACCTATCACAAGAACACTTATCTTTAAATAATTACGACTCTTATCGACATACGAAGTCAAGTAATATATTATGAAACCAGAAATATATTATATTTGTATAAATCCAATGTGGTTTTTGTAATCATATGTTTGTCCTATTTTAAGTTTAATGATATTAATCAAAATTCTGATTTTTAGATTTGTTACTGGAATTTTTTTAAACATCTTATGGATCTACTGAGTGCCTTCCAACAAATGATAATCTCCTGCCACTAGCCATTATGAACTATCAAATTTTCTTATTACATTTCATATTGTATAGATCGTAAATAATTGTAATGAAATAAAAATATATACTTTTGGATTTTTTAATAGAACTGTCAGGTGATTCAAAAAAAAGAGAGAAGGTAAATTACCTATTTTCTATAAATTGAAAATTCGATGGTTAAAAATCACTTTGTATAATGTAGTATAGCTTTTGTACAACTGTTGAGCTGTTTTAGTTGTCACTTAAAGCTATAAAAAAAAAAAGTGACGTACCTATACAAAAATTTATATTTATATCGACTAAATAATAATAACAATAAAGTTTAACAAATCATAGCTAAGACCGATTTAGTTTTGAAACATATTATTATCATCTTGTCTTTCGTTGAATTATATCAAAATCAAATGACTCAGATTGTTTATTCTGATAACAATAATATAGGCCGTCGCTACACAATGACCGAGTGAGTTTCACGCTTGAATATTATAGTATACGGTACACGAATATTGTTAATTGTATTGGATTTTTGGTTGCCTTGCATCATGCATATATTTACGCGAAAAGTGAATTACATTAGGGAATATTGAGTTAGTTTCAAAAATAATTATGTTGAACAAAAAGTATGCGTGCGTATGAAAATTTATTTTAATCTTGTTTGGTCGAAGTTTATCTTGTATGCGAGTGTTGCAAAATGCAATAACAATTTATTATTATAATAAATAATAATATGTTACAGTTAAAATAACTTTGGCTTAAACGATGTAGGTACCTTTAAGAAATTGTTCTGAAAAAACAATATTTATATTGTTAGCTCTTCGTTTAAAATTAAAATATATTATTAAAGTAATTATTATAATATCATATTTTTAGCATTATATAAAATGCTCAAGGTCAAGATTTAACATGTTTAAACCTCATTATTAAAAAAAAAATCATTGTTCTTAATACACTTGAAACAAAACAAACATATTCAAAACCCATTACTAGTTGATCAAATGTTTAGTTGGCATTTGTCTATTGCAGTGGATTACTTCCCTAATTCATGATATTGAATTATTGTTTTGAATTATTTTGAATTATCTATATTTATTTATAAGGAGTCAGCTGTTTATTAATTATTGCGGTTTAGCATTGCTTTTAGTCTTCCGTTGCTCACTCAAGTATGAATTATTCGAAATAAACCTGCCACGATAGAAACGTGTCCAGTGGCCCATTTACCGAACCCTCGACGTGCCTTTGTACCCATTTTAATTAAGCTAACTCGGAACGGTGGTCGCCGGTCGGAACCTCTCATCGTACATCAATGAACTATCGATATCAGGCATTAGCCTTTCAGTTCGTTCTGTTCAAAAAATTAAAATGTTATGCACTTCCATATTTAAGAATTAAAAAATAAAAATAAATGTTATACAAATTTTAGTTTAAAACGACGACGACTCGTCTCGTGTATAATGTTAGAAACTAATAATCGGATAACATTGCGTTGAGGACGTCCTTAACTTGCAATCGATCATATTTGATTTGCTTTGGTTCTACTAGAATCAATGACATTTTTTAAATTTGACTACATTTTACAAAATATAATATAGCAGTAGGGTGCATAATCTGTAAAAATTATACATTTTATGTAAATTCAATCTCTTTTAAATTCAAGTTTAAATTATTCTTCCTGGAAAAAATGAGTTTTTCTTTTGTAATTATTATTGTTCTTATCTACTATTGTCGTAATGTACAGTAAAACTAATAAAGATTAAAAATAACTAATCGTTTGTATACAATTATACACACAAATTATAATATTATAGCTGAACTACACAAGAATGCCTAAAAACAATTTAATACACATTTGCAATTTAGTTATTATGGCTTTGTATATTTACTACAACAACGACGACGAATTAACATGAAACAATAAAGAATGACCGTGCAGGATCTACAGGGAGCCGTCTGTACGTGTCTTGATTAAATTTTAGTTTTACGACACCTAAGACTAACGGATTTAGTTTACGATAGACAAATTTCTCATCTATTGTAACATTACTGTGTAATATATTATGTTCGAAGTAATGCTTTCAAAAATGTGAAAATAATTTATTTAAGTGAAATTCAATATCTACAAGTGAAAAAAAACTTTTGCAGAATGTGTAATTTAAAGACAATTAGTAAAATCTCACAGTAAATAGTTTATAATACGTTTAACTTATTTTTAAATAAAACAACAAACGTATAGGTACAACCTAACAGCTCAAAGGTAAACACGTGCATATAAATGTACAACTTTACGAGATAATAATTATAAATTGTATTAAATAAAGTAAAGTGAACGACATAATCACACAATCTTAATGTGCTTTCTATTTTTATGAGGATTTTAAAAACAATACATTTCAAAATTCTACATACCTAATATTATCTAAATGGTTATTGTTTTCAACATCTAAAACTATGTTTATAAACAGGAAATTGGAAGGAGATGGACATTTAAGAGACGATCGATATGTGTGTAAAAAGTCATGAACAGAAAGAAAAAAATATTATTACAAAGAAATGTAAGAATGGCTACTTTAAAAAAACATATTGTAGGTACCCAAAAAAAAAAAAAAATTATGATTATTATTAAAAAAAATTATTTTGTTGTTCCTATTATGTTATTTAAAACAATAAAGTAAGACCACTGAGATTATGTCATGGAATAAATTAATACCTATAATAATAACCTAACCTAACCTAATCAAAATACACTTTAAAATGCTAATTTTTTTTCTGTTACACAAATAAATTAAATTAAATTTTAACATAAAACAATATGTGTTCATAAAGTGATGTTTTACATGTAACTTTATTGTTTGATACGTGACCAAAAAATATAGTTCTTGCACGTGGTAGATTTATTAACGATCGTATTAGAGAAATGTAGGTACCTACCACTAAAATTGCGAAACCCGTGGATTTAAAATATACTTATACATAATGTATTTATGTTGGTATGTTTAAATTTGTTTGATTATTAAAATCATTCTATAAAAATGACAATACATACAGGTTTAATTTAAATCATTGTAATCAAATCAATTTTTTAATTTATAGTCATTATTGTGTTAACTATGGAATTATACCTCAACACTCAACAGTTTATAATTATTTTATAATTATATAAAATAAGATTTTATTTTATAATATTATGTACATATTTAAGCCACAACGTACCTGTAATAATGATCATATTTTCATGTGAAACGGGTTAAAAAAGAAAAAAAAAATGTATCACTTAGCCCAGAGAGTACTAATTTTTATTTGTTGATATATGACGGAAAATACTGATAAAGCAATTCCACAACGCTTTTCTAGACCCATGTCGTTTATGGCCTGTGATCCCAGTACCGGACATTGCACAGACGAACATTTCGAATTTTTATGGGTCAAAAAGGGCATAGATCTTTTTCTTTATCGGTCTTATAAAAATGTATTTACCCATAACGGAAATCCGTAGAAAAACCTCAATAAATTTATCTCAGATCAAAATTGATATACAAGCCTGTAAGGGAGTTAATAATAATAACAACCTCCATTATTTTAAATTACATTAAGCTCAGAATAAAATTTTTTTAGATAATCAAATACTGTTTTTTAATTTATTTATTTAATAAAAAAATTGTATTTTCCAACTTCTTAAACTTTAAATACGGTTTACTATATTATGGTTTCACATAATTTCAATTCGGTACATTCGGTCAACATTTGAACTTCAAATGCTTATGAAAAAAAATATTGCAAATGTACTTTTAATATTTTTCAACTGCTATTGTAACAATATACTATTAGGATCCTATTGTATTAAATTTTCAAGCTTTTTGAACAAACGAATACAATTTTATTGACGTTTATAGGAGAAAAAAAACTAAAAAATTGAAAATGTCCGTAATCAGCGCTAGACGAGTCAACATGTTTCGAAAATTGTATTAAGTATAAAAAATACTATAAACATATTATGTAAATTTCAAGTATCTACGGTTATTCGTTTATGAATTACAACAAAATAAAAAAATCACTCCATGAGAAATCGAGTAAAAATATAATGTTGTAAAAATTCAAACTGTAGAGTGCAGACAAAATATAAAAAAATATTGTGAATTTACACTTAACTTTTTTTTCAATTTATAACACTTATGAGGAATCGTATATTAACTTTTATTAAGAAAAGTTTTAATAAAGAAAACAAAATACAGCAAGGTTTTAGTAACACATTGTTTAGAAATCATAGATCGTACACAAATAACTAATACTCGTAAGTATAATAATTAGTGTTTTCTTACGATTAATTTTTAAACCTAGAGTTGTTATCTTTTATTTTTATTTACGTTTTTGTCTCTTATATTTTATATCTTATTTTTCTTTTTTTTCACGCTGAGATAAATAATTCAGTGTGTTTTTATTTATTAATGATATGCTTATATTATATTAACTTTTAGTAAATACAATTTATCGTTGTGTAAATCTCTATCTCCAACACAAGCATAAGTTTACAGGAGACAAATAAATCAATTTAATGTTTTATTTTAATATGTAATTATGTGCAAATATTTTCCTGGCTTAAATAAAAAAAAAATAAGAAGATACCTAGTAATAATAGCCTATGTCTAGTATGAATAAAAAATGTATAATAATAATTAGGTGCTTAATATTTATTAATACAGTAATATATTTCCAGTGCACGTGCGACAATTTGCCAAGTAAATGTCATCGACTTTTCCTGATAAAAAAATCAGAATTATATTAACATACATATTATAATATATGAATGCCATTTAAATTTGAATTCTTTTGTTGGCTTTTCCAACACATTTATACGTTATTTCATCATAAGCACAAAAAGTTCGTATTTCATACCAAGGATAATATTATTTTTGATCGTTACCTACCTACCAGCAAAATATAAAAATAATAATTGCACAAACCTTTCCAGTAAGCATAAGAATCACTGTCGCTATTCGATTCATTTGTATGGTTGTTTCGTAGACTTCTGAGACCGAAGTCAGCAATTTTTAGAACAAATCTACTATCAACCACGCAGTTGCTAGACTTGAGACCCCCGTGAGATCGGAGTTCGCTACTATGTAAATAGCACATTCCCTGAAAACAGTTCAATAAGAATTGTATATATGTGTACAAATAAACAATACTGTTAATATCACTAGGGTATTTATTTGTAAATTTGTCAAAACGATTTTGGCTCGATTAATATTAAAATAATATTTTATAAAATTCGTTATTTTCTGTACCCGTAAAACACTAAAACTTAAACAGTTTAGACGGATAAGGATTAAGGAACTTATATTTCGTGAAGAAGGTATTAACGATATTAAATTGATTTTCTAAAATAATTGTTTTATCCTGCACAAAAATATTTTATAGGTATCTAAAATATAATACCAATAATACATTCGAATTTTAGTTAGACAGACCAAAACATTTTAGAAAAATCTCAATTATTATTATTCTTATGCCTCGCATACTACCATTGAATTAATAAGTGAATAGAATGTCAAGTTTTTCTGCCTTTACCGTTTACTTTTTCGTCGTATAAAAATTTAAGATATATTCATGCAAAGACCATTCATACATTTCGTACCTAATATACCCATCCCTATCTTCAAAACCATAACTACAGGAATTCACCAGAAATAAATGTACTTATATAAAACTCTAGATATTTCTTTTTTCTGTATCAAGGATCTTTTAAAAATATTGTACAAAAGCATAAAAAAAACCAACCATCTAAGGTTATAATGAAAACCCTTGGGTGTGCTATAAAGAAAAAATATGATATTAAACATGGTCTGTAGAAATATCTAAAAATGTTTATATAACAAAAAAAAGTACACGAAACATTGTTTTACGGATTATGTTTAACACACATAAATCGTAATTGAAAACTGTTGTTTTCGACCCCAGTTGACTTTATATGAAACACGATACGCATACAAAGAGATCTTATCATTATTATTATTATTGTTTTATTTTTTTTTTCATATTATATTGTGAGACGAATATACTATCGCGTACAAACACGAAAATTGTAAAAACAGACTACAAAATAATGATGCGGTCAACAAATCATTAAATATGAAATGAATTGCGGTCGAACACCACGCACTGGCGAGACCCGAGATCAATAACATATTATCACTGGGCGAGTGTGGTCTCTATTTCTAGCTATATTTTGTGTTAATTATTATATAGTGTTCTTAAATCGCACACGGCACGCACGCATTCACAACATAGAAAATAATATTTCTCACGTTGTTCTCCTACAAATCAGTGATTTTATTTTATTTTACACCGTCGTTATACTAATTAATATTTATGCTTTTATGTTATACGTTTCAGAGAAAGATTAAATACGACGGTTTTTTTGCAGTGACTGAAGTATAGAAAATAACATAAAGAAATAAACGACAATGGCATAGATATAAATGCATATTGCCATATTATAATTACCTTGACAATGTCATGCATCAGACTGTACCGGAACATCCAATCCAGTTTAAACTGGTCGTTTTCGAGAATGTCCTGTAAACTTCCTTTTGGACAATACTCGGTCAGTAGACAACAGTAATTGGGCTCTATACACGCTCCATAAAATCGCACTAAATGGTCATGATGCAAATCTTTCAACTGAAACATAATTTTTTTTTTTAATAACATTTTTATCATTGAATATTCCACCTCGACACCTGCGACGTACTCGAGAAGTTATCACGTTTAACCTTATACAATAATATTATATTTAAATGTAAACAAATAAAAATATTTGTGAGATGCAATAACTTTAAAACAAATTAAAAAAACGAGATCTTTTTATATCGTATGTGAAATGCGTTTCCTTTTTTTGAGTTTAATCACAAACTGATTAGATTTACTGAACAGTGGAAAACACACTGATAATTACTCAATAGCAAGTTCAACATTTTCCGTAAATGCTTAAAACGTTATAACTTTTGAAATATAAAGTAAACATCTGTTAAATATTTCACTGTAAGCATAAATTCTCGGGTCCTCATAATAATTATTGTTCTATTACTTTATTTAACGCCGATCTATGATTATGTAAATAAATCTATTGAAACGGAAAAAAATCCCAAAAGATTAATCTTAAGAAATCAGAAGTAGATATGATATGACGACATGATGTAGCTGCGATTGCATACAATGATACCAATACAGCAAATAAAACCGAATTAAAACTTCTAGGATCCTACAGCTCTATATTATACGCTCTTTGTTTGAAAATAATTATAGATTAAATGCGTCTTCGAGCCATTTTGAACCCGTTGCGAAATCCTGTAGACGTCTACTACTGACGTAGGTACTTTATAAAGACTTAAAATGCTATTAATCATAAATCAAATGACCTAATTATCCTTAACCACGACTCTATAACGCCATACTATTTAAAGTACTTATCTGCCCTACCTATGTGTTAACGGTACGCTATAATATATATATGATTATTGATTATACAGCATTTCGTGAACTCAAAACTTAACCATTAGTATTATCACCCACGCTCGCTTTACCAAAATAAGCATCAATAATCATTACATCAGTGCCTCAATCCATCCCAATTACTCCGTTAGATCTCACTATTATCTAATTGGTTTTTCGATGATTTTAAACCCATTGTTTTTGATTTTCTCCCTCCCTCTTTCTCATTTTCTTCTTGCATTAGCTAGCACTAACGTACTCGAATTTTTCATTTCCACGCTCTTTCGCAAAATAATAGGTATGTAATACTTTCCCGTTGGTACGCTTTTCTTCTATTTTCTGAGAGCTGTTACTATAATTTACTAATTACTATACACATTCGTGATGCATATTTTAATATTATTCATGTCGTTTTGAACTATTGTGACTGAAAGTTACTCCTTTATTATTTTATTTGATATTGTCAACATGTTATATTTTCATTATATAGTCGTTTCTATACACATACTATTATAGTGTATAATATGGGTCACGGGTGAAAATATGGGATGAATTAACACTAAGAACGTACCCATTTCATTAACAAAATGCTGTATTAAAAACATACCCACATGGGTATGGGATATTAAAATTAATTATACACCACGAGGGTCACTTCATGTGTATAAAAACATCAAACATTCAAATATTCATATGTATAATATATGTATTATGTAGTATAAATAGCTAAAATACACATTCACACACACACTTGAGTGTCGAATTAAGTTTTCTACATACCCTTTTCAATTCCAGTAGCCGGGGACGCGTCAACTCCAAGCGCGATCTCTTTAACGTTTTTAGTGCTACTTTATTACCCTGTAATCAGAAAATAAAGTAAAAAAATTACAAAAAATATCAATTAACATATTTATATCACGTCCGTAAAAAAGCTAGTTTTTACCGAACAATGTCAGCCAAAATACGAGTATTAAGCACATTTATAAGGTACTAAGCATGCATTTCCATAGTTTTTCTTAAATAATATATTTATTTTTACTCTTCTATTTGGAAGTTTGAAGTACTTATACTTAAGGATAATATTTTTTTAAATACTACGGTTTTTTATACAAAACAAACTTATTTGCTAACCACTTTTTGTACGTACACAACTTAGTACCTACCTAAGATATTGAAAAATATTTAATGAGTTATCAAGCTTTAAGTTACTAAAGATAATAGTTAATACAAGATGGTTCGTGATAATTTGATCAGATATGTATGGTAAGCTAAATTAATTGTTCGAATTTTGATTTTGATACATCAGCAATTACAATAATCATCTGATTAATTATAAAAAAATATAGAAGACTATCGGTATGTATTAACTAAAAACAAAAAATAAATAACGAATACCGTAAATAGTAAATACATTTTTAGATGACTACATACACAATTATATATTAATAATTATAATACAATATAATTATATTTGTTTTTATATTTATGGGTATAATATATGTGTCATATTATTATTTCAAAAGTGAACAATATGATGACAAGATCAAGTTTCAGATGTAAAAAAAGTAATGTGGATGCAAAAACATTAAACCGTTACAAAATTAGCAATATTTGTCCAAGGGAAAAAAAATTCTATCCCAAAGAAAAAACTATATTTTACTAACAGGTCGGTGCGTATTTATAATAAATGTTATACTTTTTATCGCCAAACAGAACATAGTATTATTAATGAGCCTGAGATCGACTGCAAGATAGCATAATGTATCTGAGTAGGTACATATTATTATTATATTATAATATAAGTGTGTTTGCGTATGAGTGTGAAAATATAGGTTTGAATATATTTATAGTAAGAGGTACTTATAATAAAAATGATACAAGATAAAAAAAAAATGAATGCATATTACGTGAAATAACAGTGATGATTGTAACTGTTATATAAATGGTACCTTCAATTTATTCACATACTTTATTCAGCGGGGTACGTGATGTATTTTTACTGATCATATATCGTTTTAGATGCATGTTTATGTATGTGGTGGTATCCAGAAAAATAAAAATCAACATCATAATATGATTACGACGATATAGGGTAGTCTGTTTCGTTAAAGGCGTTCGTTGCGCCTATTTATTTATAACTAGGGCTAGGATTTTGTAGCATTTGCATTTTCTTTCATAGTACTCCAGGACATAGCTAATCAAAAATAAAATTCGATTCATTCATCACAGAGTTCAAATATGCAATTTTGTTTTTGCTTTTTTTGCTTTTTCTTGTGATATTCGTAAATAAATGCTTTATTGGTACTTTTTTGTCAGTTTATTAGCTTTTTAATTGGTTTTTGTTAATTATACGCATATTTAACATTTACGTACATATTTATCTAAATTATTATTTTTTCATTTATTTTAATTATATATATTTTGTGAATTCGTAGTGAAATATTATCGCCTTATCGGAAAATATTTCTGAAAATAGATTCTTAGATTTTGTGATTACTGTTTACCGAGTGGGGAGTAGTGGTCACGTAATACGATGTCTGTAATATCATCGTAATATTATGTCTGGACTTAAGACGCAATGAGAACGATATTTATTGACTTGTTTACTATGTCTAAATTTACAATAATATTATTTAGCATTTCCTAAATATAGGAATTTCTATTTATATTCGAGTGCTAGCGTACGGAGTATTGTCGCGACTCGCGGAACCACGATATCAGTAATCGACAATACGTTATGCCGACAAGTCGTTAATCGTTTTCTCCTGTAATTACGTATTCGCGTGTGCTGTTATTTTTTGATATTAAAAATATTTTTCAGCTAAACTTCAAAATTAATTTTTAAATCTTTTTTAGTTGCATTTTCCTGGTTAAATGCTTTTTTTTGTAGCATTATTGGCAATTTTTTAATTCCTTTATTGTAGGTTTTTAGTGCTTCATTTTCCTAGCCCTATTTATGATAAAACGTCGAGCATATTTTTTTTTGTGTACACACAATAAACACAGAAATTCAAACGATAACGGAGCACACTATATGGGGAAACTCAATGTATAAGGATCAAGAGTTGTCGTTTGACGTCAACCCGAGCTTAAATAACGAAGAGAATGTGTTTTCACTTTCTACGCATTCCGATCAAAATTCAACAATCTATATGTGAATATTGACATAATAATAATTAAAACATTTTTAAAAATCTGGAGGCCAGGATATTTTATTACACTGCTGTTACTATAATTCTAGTATTTTTTCAAGCCTCTAGGTTATAGAAATTTCACATTTTCCAAATGCATTGGATGTGTTTAAAGAATATCAACTTTTGATTTTCCAATGGCCACAGATTTAATATATATTATACATGTCTCGGTTGAAATTTTCTAAAATTATTTTTGAAATAATATAAGTTTTTGTATCAATAACAAAGTATTTTAAACTAAATTTAAGTTGTCCCTGAAAAAAGAGACTATTTTATAAGCTTACACGGCGTTCCTATGTTTTGAAAGAACAAATAAAATTCATATTTTTTTAAAATAGAGATCAAGTATATAAATTAGAAAAAGAAAATTTCAATCTAGCTCTCCCTCCCCCCAGTTCAGGTTTTGGGTAATAATTCTAGCCCCCCTCCTTCCCTTAAATATGGGTCTAGTTTTGAATACATTACCGATACCTAAGATTTATATTGTAACTTTGATATGAACAATATTTAGTTGAAACGTAAAGATACTCTTTTCTTTTTCACCTATATTTAATATTTTCGCAAACTTTTTTCCCGACCAAAAAAACATGCTTCAGCGAGCTACCAACAAACTTCCTTCTCATTTTCTCCTATGTAAATCCAAAAAGTATGTAAATATTTTTATCACGCTTTATTACATGTAAACAAAAATTATTGTTTTAGCTGTCAAATATATCAAGAAATAATATCACCACAGAAAAAGAAAACAGCAAGAGATAAGAATTTAGTTATTTACCATTTAAGTTTTTAGAAAATAGATTTTAAAGCCAACGAAAAACTGCAATTCTTACTACAAAGAAAATAATTAAAAAAGAAGATTATGTATTATATTACAGCAATAATAATGTGTTTTAAAGCTCATCTGTGTGTTATTTGTATACATTTTCCCATTTATATTTTAAACCAATACAATTTTGTTTAGCTTAATTTGTTACACACTCGCGTACAAAAAGAAAGAAAAAATTCTAATTCTAATTATTTTTTGTGAATCCTTTATAAAGCTAATATAATGACGACGTAACATTGTTATCAGTCCATCATACACTAAAAGAATTCCGGTCGAAACAATTTAGATTTAATATATAATATACCAAAACTACACATTTATTTAATTTATTTTAATTTTTTTGTTTCTTTAACTTATGATTCGGTAAAATTTAACTAACGGTTTTTATAATAATATGCCAGGCGAGAATCTGAATATTGCAAAAAATCATCGTCAGTGTTCAAATGGATAATGGAGCTTTATGAATCTTTTAAAACATTTTTACATCAGAAAGTATATTCTCGGAAACACAATAAAAAAAATAAGCTGTTTAAAAAGTATGCGTATACTCGTATACTATCGTTCATATACGTTTGTTACTTATACAACTTTTTTACTCCCGCACATGGTCTAAAAAACAAAAAAAACCGTTAAAAGTATCCCAACAGTATACCTAGTTGATATCGATGAGAGAAAAGAAATGTTAAATCTTTTATCTCACCGTAGAATCGGAAGAAAACAAACATGCTGAATAAGTGGAATCTAATGCCAAGTTATGTCATGACACCCGTTTACTCGCAGTCATAATAACTGTTTAGACGCTATCTAGAATAAGTGACCATAGAAAACTAATAGAAAAACAAAAACAACACTCTGATACGTTAGAAAACCCTGCTTTTTTTATTGTTCACACAATGTGGAATAACATTTATAAACATATTACGTAATATTATATTGTTGAAAACTTAAAACCAAAACATTCCTTCAAACATTTTATGTCTGTTGATAATTTGTCATGACAAACTAATCAAATGAAGATAAAATATAATTTTATCGAAAATCACCTAGAAACTTTTAAAAATATATGATCCGAAGTTTAGTCCTGATTGAATAACTTATATCTAGAACGTATGGGAATAATATCAAAATAAAAACATGTTCACAGTGTTACCGTTGTCAAATCTGTGGTAAGAATATTGTATACCAAAATTAAGCAGTATCAACTGTCCGCAGATACGAAAAATCGACGAATCACCTGATTCCAAAGACAACAATCGCTGGCCACTATTAATATAATTTTTAATCTTTTGACAACCCAATGTTTTGTAACACAAACAAGCGAAATTATTGGTAACATTCGTTGTTTACAAATATCCGTCCGTACTACTTTTGCAAATTACGCGAAGAGCAGAAACGCGTGTGCCCAATCTTTGCGACAACAGTTCAATACTTTCGTGTTGCGATAACGGTGAAAATAATATTATCATAACAGCAAAATAGTAAACACTTCACCCTACGTCATGTCGGATCATTCGGCAGTCACGGAGGAGTTGGAGGTGTCGTCTCCGCACACCATCACCACGACCACGACCTCCACCGTGACGGCCGTCACCACCACGACGACCACCACCATCACTTCCGGCATGGCCGGTCTGCCTGCTGCGGGCCCGCCAAACCGTGAAGACGCGCGCAGGCTATTCATGGGCAACTTGCCAAAGGTGAAATCGGAAGTGGAAATTTGCGAGGAAGTTAGCCGGAATACGGACGGCCTGGTGCGCGTCATCACGTACAAGAACTTCGAAAACCCTTTGCTGCACCGGGGCTTCTGTTTCCTGGACTACGTGTCCAACGCGGCGGCCGCGGAAGCCAAACGCCGGCTGTCCCAGTGCACGGTGTTCGGGTGCAAGACGATCGTCGACTGGGCGGACCCGGAACCGGAAGTGGACGCCCAACAGATGGCCACTGTCCGGATTCTGTTCGTCCGGCAGTACGGTGGCACGCTTGACGAGCGCACGCTGGCCGACGTGTTTGGCCAGTACGGTAAAGTCGAACGGGTCAAGAACCTGAAGAACTACGCTTTCGTTCACTTCGAACGACGGTCGGACGCCCAGGACGCTATGAACGCGCTAGACGGCGCTGTGGACGAAGCGTCCGGCGTCCGGGTCGACGTGTCATGGGCAAAACCACCTGCCGAAAAGCACATCCGGGAACAAGTGCTCCGCGACCGAGAACGGCGAATCCGGCTGCAGGCGTACGGGACGCGCCGCACCGAGCACGAGGACGTTCCCGTCATCCGTTTTGACAACAAGATGACGTTCGAACCGACCGCCTCCACATCTACCTCCAATACCAGCACATCTCTCGCCCCCGTCACCGCCGTACCATACTCAAACTACGATCACTACGAATACAACTTTGGCCAGCAGGCGTACTCGTGCAAATGCCGAGATAAACGGATCGTCGAAACGGAACCACTGCGACGACAACCGGAACCACGGCAAAGGTGCCAGTGCATTGTCGGAACGTCGGTTTCGGCAGCGGCGGACAGTGGCTGTCATCGAACCGAACGCTACAACAGCGAAGACGACAGCGGCCGAACATGGCGGCAGCAACAGAGGATACCATTCCAACAACGAGACACCACGGTTGAGACCACCTTCGTCGGATCTTCCGCTGCTCGACACGATCACGGCGATTGCGCCAACGTCATTTCAGACTTGGACTCGATCATTTTGAAATTTTTCCACAAGAGGAGTCACACCACCTGAACATGTGTGTCTATGATCTGTGCCAAATCGAACACTAGCAGGCCCAGCTATCTTTCCTGATTTTAATGTACATAAGAGAAATAAACACTGCCCAGCACTGCGTGCTATGGCGTTTGTTAAAATAAAAAATAGTTAAATACCTAATAATATATTAAAAGCTAACTTTGACCCAAACTCGTGCGGTTTTATTGAGAGAGTTGTGCAAAAAAGTATTTATTACACAACAATCGTTGCGTACTTCGTCTTCGCACTGACGAGAAATACAAGAAAACGTTTTTACTTTATGTTATTGAATATTTTTGTAAACTACAATAACTGATGAAACTATTCAAAACTTTAAGTATATGTATGTAAACTACGAACGTGTTACGTTTGGATACTTGGAAGTCAATTTGTGTACCTTTTCCAAAAATGTAGAAATACAATGTTGTTACCTATGGTGTATGATTGTTTTATTGTGAAAGTCGTATAAATATTTAAAATCATAAAAGTAATGGAATTATTTGTGTAATTAATTATAGTTAAGTAATGAGTAAAGTGTGTGAAATCAGATTGGTAATTATTATTTCAGATTCTCAATGTTGATTAACTAGTTAAACTATAACTTTGATCAATAACATAACGTTTTAGAATATTCACATTTATTTGAGCTGCACCACTGTTAATATAATCAACTAAAAAAAGTAACAGTATGATATTAATAATACTTATGTAGAGGAAGATGTCCCAAGTAACTATTGTGCGTTTTATTCCCACCCTTAGTTTAACGTGACCAAATAACTCGGACGCCAGCTATTGTGGTGCGGTGAATTTACCACGATCAGTATCATTAGACTTCATTCAATTGTTCACACCATGCAAATGGAATGGCTATACCCGTATTATTGCTATAGTCGTGGAGGGGGGGGGAATTAATGTATTGATACAATACTTTGCAAAAAATCGTAACACAAAAATACATAAGAGATGTGCAGAGAGAAATCAATTGTTGATCGGTTCATTATAGTGAAAGAGGCCAATAATAATATGTGTCATACGATAAATTTTAATTTTACATTTACAACTAAATTAGTTAGTTCAAGAACATAACTTTACGGTTTAAATATAATATTTTAAAACGTCATTGTATTGATTTCCAGTGATTGTGCACTATGTATAATAATATGATAGGTAAATATTAAATACATTCCAAGGCATTAAACACTTATTTCGATCCAATTGTTTCGACACATATCCGATTTTAATTCGTCTTCTTCTTTTTTTGTAATTCGGGAAGTATGTTAGCCACCCCACCACTGCTCTCTTATTGCACATGTCCTAAATTCTATCTTCCCGATTCGTCTCATGCACCGTTCCAAAATCATTTCTTATAACATCAGTGTAACCCATCCTATATAAATTATAATATGTGTCTATCTCCAGGTTAGTTGCTACTGGATTGCTTCTATGATGATTTTAAGACAAAATTGATTTTTAAAAAAACCCAAATCTCTGTTATATATTATATATAGACTTTAAGTACATAATAATTTTTTCCTGTCGATCCCTTATGCGTTAAGTATACTTAAGATAGTTTGAAACCAACGTCATATGTCATGTAATATAATAAGATTAAATCGTTTGACTTTTGATCCTTCTGTAACAAATAATTGAATCAGAAGTTTCTAAATAATACGCTAACGTACAGTTATTTTCACATTGAACAAATACGTGTTCACAAATCCAGTCTGTCTGAATTCAAAGCTGTCAGTCAAATACAAAAATTATATGTTGGAACATAAGTCAATCTTTTTTTTTTTTTTAGAGAATATACAATCTATACCCAAAGGCATAATAAGAATATGTGCTACATTATATTTAAAAAAACACATGAATAGGGTGAGGGAAGAAACCATCCAGTGATCGCACTTCTTTTTGCTTAAATATATGTGTAGCTTTATATTTTTTGTTAATAAATCTAAATGTATATTATATACAATATATTTTTAGATGAAATTATATTATATTTAAAAACAATTAAATATCATATCGTGAAATGCTCTAAATGTCATTATTATTAACGAATTTGTAGTTGATATTTTAACAGTAGATAATTATTTTTCAGTGTTGAAAATTTGTTCTTTAATATAAATATAACTATAATAATAATAATAATAACAATACTTATAATACTAAACACGAATAATTTTAGTTTTCATCCGAGTGCTCTGATGAAGGTTAAAAAATATTATTCTGTATTATACTACCCTTTCAAATATATCAAATCTAATTAAACATTCATTATACAAAGATAAAATTAAGCAACGATTTTCTTGATTCTTAATTTTTATTCGTGACACAAACTTTTGATCAAGTTAGTATTTTTAGGATCAAGATAATAAACAAATTTACCGCCAGTTTAATTATAAAATATAACTATGCTTAATATCATTTGAATAAAAATTGTGACCAGGAATACTATGTTTTACGACAAAATTATTCAACCAGCTTACAATACGAACAAAAATATTTTAATTACATGTAATTTATCATTTTTTATTTTTTTTAAGCAAATAAAAACGTCTCGTTATGTATACGATTTGAAGGTGCTTTTAAAGATTTATGACTGTTATAATTAGTATTAATAATATATTTTTATTTAGTTTAATAAAAATTGAGTTTTCATGTGAATATTTCTGAATAAAACACTTGATCAAATATAATATAATACTATTACAATAGGTACCTCAGTTATTTGAAAAATATTCAATATTTAATTTAAAGGCGTTAAAAAGTTGAAAGTATTTTTTTCTTAAAGTACATTAATAATACATAAAAAACTAATCATTCAAATACCTTTTGGAAAAATATGTTAAAATGGAGTAAGCTAATACGCACAACCAGATATAATAAATAAATAAACGATTATAAATAGTGTGATATTAAGCCATAATTCTATATAGAATATTTAAAAATGCTTATACAGGACTATGCCAGGAGTTGGGTTGTAGTAAGATTTCAAATATTTAAAAAAAGGTCATTGTAAAACCATCAATACAATCTATGTTTAGCTCATAATCATAATCAAAACTCTCTATAAATAATATCCCCATAAATAATAAGTATGAATCATATGATAGCTAACCGAATAATAATACTTATTATAAAATGGTAATTTTTGTACATAATATTAGTTTTTCTTAAATTAAACGAAATACTAATAGTTAAAATATTATAATAACTATACACATGGAGAATACAATATTTTTATGTCTGTCAGAAAATAAATTTATATATTTATCATTCATATTAAGTAAATTATTATTATTTATGGAAAGCCGTTTAGGTACTAACTTTGTAAAATGCCGTTTGAATGAATATTTGACGCCCGTAGTCACATTGGCTCATGAGGCTCATGAGGTCATCTGATATGACGGTCTGTAATTGAAAAAATAAAAACAAATTTACACAGTGAATAAAGGTAAAAATATTATAATGTTCATATACTTAATAGGTATGAACGTATACCTACACTTAATTATTATAGGTATATAATGGACTTTCTGGGAATTCTCGCTAAAGTGTAGATTTGTAAAACAACTTTTTTTTATAAGGTTCGTGTCGTTGTTATTCGAAACAAGACTAATAAAAAAATGTTGGTGGTTCTAAGTCCGACAACGCGTGTACACACCGCAAGCCAATTATCGCGTAGTTCGTGCGGTGGTTCGTAAACACTTAAAATATACACGCTTCATTACAGCAGTGAGTCTATGACCGGAATTCTGTTAAAACGCACTAAATGTAACGCATGTACTAATAACAATAACATAATAATAGAATATTTCTGCACCGTTTGATTATATTATTATTTTTCCTCTGCGGATATTATTATAATATTGCAGTTTGTTATTCGATACGCGAATGACGGCTGCGGCGATGAGGATGAGGTCGTTTTTGAAGCTAAGCAGACGTTATGAAAACGAACGTCGTCTTCGCGGTATGCAGTAATATTATATTATCGTGTGTGCGTGACGGTGGAAAATCGTTGGGGAACGCACGCAGTAGGGGTGGTGAGATGGATGAATTTAAGGTCAGGTAGATTCCTACGCCGCTTTTTTTATATTATTATCAATATCATATTTTTTATAAGCCCCAATCTCGGGTCGGCATTTGACGGCACAGCGGGACGGCTTCAGTTGCAATCAGCTTGATTTTTATAATCATCCAGTGGTTATAACCGCATTTCCGGCTGTACGCGGGCCGAGTGTAACTATTGCGCCGCGTCAGTTTAAAACTTTAAAAGGAAGCCTCATGAATAATTAGATCTAGCAGGGACCGATAATTTTGAAACGGCCGTCAATTCAAGAGCGGCAGATACGAAAACGCGATTCGATTAACATAAACGAAAAGAGATTAAATTAATAATTATCAAAAAAAAAAAAAAACAGCCAACACCACTCACCGGCACCGTCGTCGCCGAGAACCACGGGGACCGAGAGCAAAATCGTCGAAGTTAATGTTTGAGACAGACCCCAAAGTGTGAAGCCGAAAAGCGACGGCGTGAAGAAACTATGATTTTAATTATTTTGTGTTGTTCTGTTAATTATTACATATAGGTAGATGAATAAAATGTACATTCCGTGGTGGCGGGTGTGTAAATAAAATGGAGTGTTTGTAATAGGCGTGCCTGCGGAGGTTTTTCGAATCGTCGTCCCGCAACAGCAAACATTATGACAAACCAATATAACTATTTTCATTAGATAGGTAAAACAACTATACAGGTAGTCACTGCTGCAGTATACAGGTTGATTTGTTTTACACGAGCGACGCGAGTAACTCATTAACTTATGTTGGAAATGTGTAAACACTAAATTTCATTTTTTTCGACCGTTCATATGAATGCTCTTTAAGCGGAGTCTTTTATCATCGTTATGATTTTTTTTTTTGTTTTTTGTATTTTACTATTTCTTTATTTTTTGGTTATCTTTATTTTTAACATCTTAATAGTTAATAATTGTTTTATAGAATTTTTCTATTTCAACATGCAATAATTTTGACTATGAAAAGTAACATTAAAAGTGTTAAGTTATTTGTGACGTGATTTATTTAAGCGATCAAAATAAAAATGTTATAAAAATAAAACGATTACAAATATTATAAAATTATCTAAATTATTATCATTAACATAATTATAACTATAATGATTATTATCATCATTATCACTATCGTCGTCGTCTTAAATTTGATAAGTGTATCGTCAAATAAGTGGATCTGTGGAAATAACGCCACTGAAAATATTAAATGGCGGAAACATAAACGGACATTGAGAACGAATTTCACTCTGTATATATTTTCTTTTGGTGGAAAGCACAACAAAACGTAATGATTGCGTCGTTTACCCTTTGGCTGTTTCTTCTAATGAGACTTGCCATGCTCGTTCTCCATTTTTCCTGCGGCACTCTTATGATGTCGTTGTAATTGACTTTCCACGTCATAGATGCAATTTCAGCTTCAAGCTTATAATGTCTGAAAAAAAATATTAACATTTGTTTGATTATTTATAGGCACTAAACTTATAAAAAAATGTACAATTCATGTAAGTCTACAAAAATCTCAGTAAATTGTATGTAGAAGCTTAAAATAGCTTTAAAAAACTACAACAATAAGTCGATGCAATAAATGTACCGATATTATTGAAAATTAATGTTCTAAAACTTTACACCAACGAAATCAAGATTTTAAAACATATTACATTAGTTTATGAAATATTGAATTAATTTTTTTATAACCTCCTCAATCATAATTTTAAAATGAAAAAACATTTTCTTTTAAAGCGATAGAAATATTGCTGAGTGTTTTATTTTCATAGTCACTGTTACACCGTTACATGTCAAACCAATTGAAATTAACCACATTGTCAAAAAATCAGTTTTCTGAAAATACATTTTTACTAAAAACTGCAAAGCTCTTAGTTATATTAAACATAAATATATGACGTATAACGTCTTAGGCCACGTATAGATTTTATTTTATTTAATAATATAACCTATTACTTTTGTTAAGTCATTTTTTTTCTGGGATATTATTGTTTCATAACCACCTAATAGAATATAAATAAATCGAATATCAAACAAACTAATCAAAAAAATATACTCAACCATAAAATAAATTAAACTTTTAAGATCTAGTTATATATTTACTATTAAACTACACTGTGTCTGAATGTGTAATCAAAAAAATATCATTAAGAAAACACTTTTGTAATAAACCGTATAAAGAGAAAGCACATTAATTTAAGCTCGTGTAAACTTGGGATCTCTTGGAGCACTCAAATTTTACATTCGTAAATTATTTTTTTGGAAAATCGTTTTATAAATATCAATGGAATAGAAATCTCATATTCATTACATATATAATATTTTATAATACTAATTGTTGTGTTTTATGTCTCGACAAATATAAGACTTGATAGCTTTGCTATGAATACCTGGACACAGTGGAATAGAGGAAGCGAATTAGCAGATCAAAATCATCTAGCCTCACTTACCGACACCCAAACTTTAAACCTAAGAACATATACAGATTTACAAAAACTCATTAAAAAGACTCTATACCAAAAATGGTGAAATCGCTGGACAAAACAAAACACTGAATTAAACTCAGTAAAAAACAATATCCAAGTATGGCAAAATCCGGTCCTAAACAGAAAAGATGAAACCATTTTAAATCGCCTTCGACTTGGGCACACCTTCGTAACACACAATCACCTCATATCTAGTAAAGATCATCCCATATGTGAATCTTGTGGCGTAGAACTCACCGTCAAACATAATATGATAACGGAATGTTAAACTTGAGAATGAAACACCACATACCAGTGCAGTTAAGCGAACCTCTACAACTTGATCTTCAATCAAACATCAACATTATCAGCTTCCTAAAGCAAATCAATTTATATAACCTAATATAAGAATAAATTAAATGTATATTAAGAACAAATTGCCCAGTAACCGATGTTTTTTTGTTCAATAATATATATGTATATATAAATATATAAAACATACAAAAATGTATTCCTTTACGTGCACACAGTTTCCTCAGTGTAAAATTGTATATCTTATGTGTACAAAAATTAATAATAATAAAATATACCACCAAACGTGTGAAAATACACTTTCGACAAGATGTGTACAAAATTGATTGCATTTCAAAATATAGGTTGAAATTCACCCATACATTTCTCTATTTAATAGAATACTTTATACTTTACACGAGCTTACAACTACATAAAGGTAGTTAAAATTCAGAATTCCGTGGGTATTTCATTTAATACACGTGTGTTTCATTATATACACGTGTGTTTGAGTAAACGATAGTTGCGAGGACAAATTTACTGATATTTACAGCGGACAAATAGTGTTCATCTCATAAAACACGCTGTGTGTAAATTTCCACTAGTTTGTCTAAGTAAACGTTCACGATTTTTCAGCGTTCGTTATTATTATAATGTTTTATTTAATAACGATGGTAGGTAGGCATTTTTTTTCAGTATTTTCATGAACTACTACTTTTAATACAAATGCAAATATTAACTATTGTACATATTAAAATATATATATTATATTATGTAGGTATATGCATGTATAAATGATAAACATCATGTACCATAATACTGTATGGTTCATACATTATATATTACATTTTTATACAAGCAGGGAAAAAAACTATGGGCCAGATTGGCAACCAGTCTCCCACTTGTCAATGACTCATGTATATTGCAAACAGTATGTTATTACAAGTAGTATTTCTGGTATAATGTGTATCTAGGAACTTACATGGAAAAAATATAATTAATTTCAGAATTAAAACTGCTAATAAATTAAACATCATAGATACTTCACACATCTTGTATTTACCAAGTCTACTAAAATTAAAAATATAAAAATAACAACATTATGACATAAGTACGCAGTGTTTTTATAATTTATGTATATAAATTATAAATGATAGGTATGTGTCTAAATAATTGAAAGTAACAAGTATAAGTGTCTAGCAGCCTGTATCTAGATACGCATTATGCATCACTGACAACGGAAAAAAAAATATGTACATATAATTTCAAATATTGATTTGAGTTAAACAATTATTTAAAAAAATCTAATACAATTGGAACATAACATAAATATCGGGGGACTATTTTTAAGTGAAAAAAAATATCAAACCTAGTCATAAATTTATTAGAGAAACTAAGTTTATTTCAATTTAAATTATGAAATATATTATTAATTTTATCACTTTAAAATAAATAATAAGTAAACAATGGCAATTAATTAATTGTTTGGCCACAACGACAGTTGTGAACATTTCATAAATGGTATAGTCGTCTAAAGATTTATTACTTTCATAAAATTGTGCATGTGAATTTCACAGTCATAATATAAAGGCAGTAGCGTACCTATGCCACTACCACATAAAACTTTCTATAACTGTGCTTAAAAGTCCTCAACACCTATCACAATAAAAGTTTATGATTTGGTTACAAAAACCTCAACTCATCCGTAATTTTAAACATTAATCCGAGTTTTTTTTCGCTCCAAAGTTTTATATGACATTTGTCCACAAAAGTATTTTTTTCTATTTCTAAATTTTTGAAGATTCAAGTTTTTTATCGTGTAACACTAATATTAATTCTAAAAAGTAGGTATACATTAATGTACACTGTGTTTCACTATTTTATTCCGAATAGCAATATTATAATAGCGATATTCAAAGTCAATATCGTCACCTATCAATTACTAATGATGATTTCCGTGAGTCGTATACGTTTCTTGGTTCAGTAAGTTCCAATATTGAATGTAAAACATTACCTTCAATAAGTCGAGTTAAAGAAAACACAAACGAACACTTACAGTACAATATGAGAAGTATAAAGTATGTTTTACGCTACTATAATTATTAAAAGTTTAAAAGCGGTTTTCGAAAACTTTTCGAATAAATCACATACACGCATATGTATTCATGATTTACGTTTGAAAACTATTCACAAGTACAACTGCAGTATTCGTACATTTTGGTTATTATCAAAAAATATGAACCGAATTGTATTCGAGATTCATTTATTTCAGAATTAGGTAAATGTCGGGAAGCGGAGACACACAGCAGTTGGGCAAAAATATGACATCATACCTATCTGCAAAAACCTTCAAGACTTCCTTGGACTTGACGAAGATACCCTTTGAAAGTGTTATTATTTATCGAACGTGTAAACTTTCATACAAAGAATAAGTTTAATTCAGAAAAAAAAGTAGTGTACATGTATGCCTACATAGTTATTTTAGTCACCATAAACCAATAATTACTGTCGTAACTTTAGAGTCAGAAAATAAACCATAATGAAGACATTAAGTAAAATAAATAGAATAAATAAAAATAATGAAATAAATAAATAATTTTTTGCATCACGAACTTGAACCTAAAATCCTATCAGTTCATGCAAGTCTTTGCTACGAGATTGTTCATTTTCAAAAAAGCCTAAATATCATTAAAAAATAAAAAAAACTATGTACGAAGAAGTTTCAGTTCATCCTGCACGCAGTATTGGACACCAAACACACGCACACATTTTATTCATAATGTAAATTGTAAGACATGAACTTTTCTATATTTAAAAAATAAAATAAAATTATTGAATAAATTTCAACTTCAAAAATATTTAAGAAAAGTAAGAATTGTGTTCTTATATTTGATAATATATTGTGTTTATTTTGATATAACTAAAACTATTCATTATTTTTTACCTAACATATATTATGTTCATTTTTCAAATTTACAATAAAAATGCAATTTTAGTCGAGGAACAACATTAGACAATTTACAAAATAATGTTGACGAGTATTGCGAAAAATAAGTATACAAGAAACATACAAATATTGTATACATCATGATGCCTGTATAATGTCAATAACATTTTTACTTTTAGCAACTATTTTTTACTTTCACATTGCAGCTTTTGAACGAAAATACTTTCATATACACCTGTTTTTGTTTTAAATCTCTAAGGAACAAAAGTGACACGAGAAAAACTTGTATGGTTTAAAATGAAAAAAAAATGGTTTAAAGGTTATCGGTTATTTTCAGGTTGTTTATAGCATTTTTAAGCAAATGTCAAGTCAAATTTGGTCAATATAGGCATAATATTATGTAATTATGAAGAACTTCTGACAATAATACTTCATTTGGGAATAAGACAAATTAGAAGACTACGGATTTTAAGTTCAATTATTTGAAATAGTCTTGGAAACAATAGATAGTTTGAATGATATTAAAGGTAAAGTCCTTCATGGTATTTTATAATTAAACTATAAGATACAATCAAATTCCAGTATCCAATAAAGTCCTTTAAACCTTTATCATAATACCTTATTTTAGGGGGTATATAAGTTAGGGATTTTTCGATAAATTCAGATCGTTTCCAATTAGAAAAGTTACATATTTTCCTTTACTCCAATTTAAAAAACAAGTCTATTAAATTATACAAATGAAATAAAAAAATGATTTAATGATTCCCAAATGAATAATTAATAAGTAACTGTGTTTTTCTGAATATTTAAAAATTATAATAATGATTCCCAAGTGTTAAAAGTTACTTAAAAACATCATATTCATAAGTTTGCTTGACTAATATAAGACTTTAAACTAAAATTCAATACACCATTAATCTATTTTTAGTTGACAACAATAATTCTACACAAGCTACAGCATCTGTTATTTATGAGTTCTGCATTTAAAATCTCTACTCGCAAGTACACAAGTCTACTGGATTCGTGATAATTTCACTGAAAACTCTTAAGTATTTAAACATTTATTGTCTATCAAACATTGATGGGAATTACGGTAATTTAAATATTTTATTTTTAAACTCAAAAAATTGCATCTTTTCAATATAATACAATATAAATCATTACTAAAGCAGTTTTAAAATACTCAATGTGTTCACAATACTTGGTATTTTAATTTAAAGTTTCTAAATTATTAGCGGCGATGTTTTAATTGATCAATTATTTTGATGTTGTACATATTTAAATATGGGGTTAAAATACAATTTTATTAGCAGTTATTTTGAACATATCGTATTTTCTTTTTTTCCTACTCAGTTCAAAACCGCATATTATCGTGTCTACATATAACATAAAAATATCCAGTACCTATCCCTTTGAATCAATTTGAAAATAAATCTGAACCGATTATAAAAAGTTGATGAATAATAATCTTTGTTCTTGGTTTGTATAAGATTGTCCACCGTTGGACTTATTTGCATTATCTGTAGGCATGGGCTGACATACATAAAATAAAAGTATTGTGTGCTCTTTGAGTATAAAATATTTTGTTAAATAGGATGAACCAATCAATGGTTTTGGTTTTATTTTTCATTCACTCGACGTGTAGGTACTGTCATAACAACCATGTTTTATCATCTTCGGTGCTCAAACTAGTCTCGTTTTTTGACACTCTCTTTGGCCTAACAGAAATAATTTTTATCTGCCGCTGACTATAACAAAATTTCTCATTTTCACGGCACATTTTCTCGAACGATATAAAAACATTTATAGTTGGCTTATTTTAATTTTGGGTAAATAATACAATATCTACGTTCGTAAAGCATAGGACTTGAATTCTGATCCAACAAATCCTCAAATCGTTACATTTTTTTGAAAATGTGTTTCCGACCTTATTTCGCGATTAGTTATCATTGTTCTAGTGATTTTACTCTTTAAACCGTTTGTACAGTTCATATGGTTACCAATAAGTTTTTGTATTTTTTTCAAATTATATACCTACTTAATACGTATATACATCAAACAATTATTATTTATTGTCTTCTCGTTCCGTAAGCAATCCTTAGTTTTCCTCAGTTGAATACATTTTTACGTAAATTAAGAATTAAAATTAATGAATGCGATCTGTACCAACACGTATTTACTAATCATATTAACGTACTAACTCTGTTACTCCAAACGGTAGTCAGATAATAAAATTATGAAACTTTACACTATTCCGCAATACAGTTACAACTTTATTTATAATTTTTTTTTTATATAAGTTATCATTATTTATGTTAATTTAATGCAACGATTTTACATTGAAACAAGATTTGTAAAAATTGAATATTATATTAAAATACTACTGAAAAAAAGACTTTTTAATTGATTCGGATTAAATATTAAACATGGAATAAAACAGAATTAAAAAATGTGCATAGAAAATAAAATATTTCATATCTTAATATTATTGTTTCTGATTTATTTTGACTGTCTGTGTTTTTTAATAAGATTTCAGTATACTTTGTTTTGTATCCAATATAATAGAACTATAAGAAAATAATAACTTCCAATTATAGAAATATTTTGTTGTAATAAAACTATATTGATACAATAAATTAAAATGCGAAAAATAAGGTCATGATTTTTGTTAAGAGCATTAATCAGCCTATTCTTATAATTTCTGCCCAAATAATTTTAGATACCCAATAATATTATAGCAATATAATTGCTAGTATAACACTATAAAGTAGTAATGTTTAGTACAATTTTAGTTTTTTTATTCTAAAAGTTTTCTAAGTACCAAAAACCTCACTTTAAATGTTTTTTGTCTTAGAAAGTTACAAATATTATTTTTAATGATTTATCGATTTAACACCAAATTCTGAATATCTAGTAATTTTCAGGTACTGGTTATTGAACAGTTAGACATTCTAATTCTAATAATTAATTAGTAAGTGTTTGACACATGTTAGAAAAACATTATTCAGTTTGAAAATCGTTGAATCGTTGTACAACTCATTAAACCACATTAATTTCAATTGTTTAATTTATAATATGGTGTGAATTTAGTTAAATTACACACTAACTGTGACACTGCCACATTGGTCTAAAACACTACCAGAATAATTCCAACTCTACTACCAAAACGTTTGTACAATCATTAATATACCAGAGACCATTATAATAAATCTTTGATACATAAAAATTTCATATGATCCAAGAACAAACCATACAATAACACCAGTGAATAAAATACTTAAACATTTTCTATGTATGAATCGATTTGTTCAATATTATCGAAATTGGGTTAATCAGCTTATTGCTTTCCGAATACAATAATATTCATTGTAAATAATTTTATTATTCTTAATAATGACCCATTTTCTAATACAATTTGAACGACCCCTTTACCAAGAAATGACAATAAAAAACTTATTTTTTTTGGATCGTTCCTAATGGTTTAGTTTCAATTATTAAAGATTGAAAAAAATATTGTATTATTTGTATGAACAATTTAAAGATAACTCTGAATTATTTATATGGTTGAAAGGGATCTGATACTATTCACAGAAGCACACTACCAATAGTACAATGAAAAATAATCGGATATAAACTAAAAAAAAACTCTGACACTGGATCGTAAACATAAATAACCCATAAAGAGCTTTACCTGAATAATAAATGTTTAGTAATGAAAAGTTAGTGTATAGGACGTGCCTTGACATGCGGTCGAATAAACTTCTTTTCCAATTTTTTCTGTATTTTCTTTTTCTTTTTTCGATCAAGAGAAAGTGCATAGGATATAGGTACTCGAAGAAAACTGAAAAGGCCTTCGGCCGTGTTAAATTATTCAAGTCTTCAAAACTTCTTGCGAATTTAGGAAGCTTTCATTAGTTTTCTGAAATTTTCAACTTTTTAATTATAATGAAGTAATTATACATTATACTATGATATTGAGGTACGTTGTTTAAATACAACATTTGTAGGTGTATGCAATTTTTATGTATTTTTTTAAATTAATAATTTTGCGCAAGCTGCGTTTAAGTATAATACATTATATCTTCATTATGATTTTTTGTTACACCGCGTTAATATTATAAATTAATATGCTAAGTAGATATCTAATTATATTACAAACATAAATTACATCATTTTCTAAATACATTAAGCTCTTATTAACCTGAGGAAAGAAAATATTGGATAATTATTCCTCAAAATCAAACAAATTAGTTTTTTAATTAAATTAATTAAAAAACATATATTATTATATCCATAAGAAAATTATAATTTAAGAAAAAACATGTTTTCATTTAAGCTTTACATTTAGAGCTGCATTCAGCTAACTAAACACTAACAAAACAAACCATTTGATTAATTAATAACAGCTTTGACATTTTGAATGAAAATATTTTCGCACAATTTAGAGATAAAATTGTTTTATAAGCAGGCTAATTGTACCACATAAAAAAAGGTATTTGGGGAAAAAAAAACTTAAGTTAATGAATTTACTTAATTATATTTTATATATAATAACCTATATTTAAATGTAGAGCCTAATAAGTTAAATGCTTGAATTAACACTTCTACTCTTTTTACACATATTCAGTTATATATATTATGAGCGAATTTCTACTGTACCTACAAAAAAAAAATATTTTATTCCTAATAATTATAAGTTCATTTAAGTTACAACAGTACAATATTTTAATTCAAAGATAATAATATTATAACGACACTCTAGCTATATCAAATTTAGAAACAAAAGATAAATAATACAAAATAATGAAAAATAGTTTTATTATACTTTTGAAAAATAAAAAAAATTTTAATTACTATTCGAATTAAATAGCATTCAATAAAAATAAAAAGGTGGTAAGTTGAAAATAAAATGACTCGTTAATAAAATAATGAAAAAGGACAAACTATATAATTTCTGTTGGAAAAAATCAGGGACATCACTAAAATGAAAAATGTATACAACAAAACTGTTCTGGATATAAAATTAAAGTTTACCTTGCCGAGTAACTGGTATCATTTTTGATGAAAAATAGTAAAAATGAAAAATAATAGTCAACCATACATCGGGATGATTCAAAGCACGCATACAATACCTACCCGAATTCCAACGAAAGGGCATCCTGATTAGACCATTAATAATGCAGCCGGATACGTGCCAAGGAATAAGAAAAAATATATAAGGTCGTTTAACCGGTATTTTCAGTGTTTTCATTTTTTTTTCTTTTTACGAGATGGGAAAACGCAGCATGAAAACATTTTGGGAAAATACAGCGTTTCTACTTTCTACGGTAAAAATCATAATCAACACGAAAATATTTTACCAAATTATAAATAATTAACTATATTAAATAAACACCTATCGGTGCCTAAATAATATCAGTTAATAGTAATGTTGATGAGATCAAATTTAATTTTTACAGTTTAATAATTGTGGAATTATTACTATTACACTGCAATTTGTATGTATAGTAATAATATTTGTATTATAATAATTATTCTGTGTATTATAAATTACCTGTATATTAGAGCTGAAGCTATTGCTAGAATCACTACAACTGAACTGAGGACTATACTGAGTATCGCATAACCAGGCATTGCTAAAAAAAAATGTAATAATAATAACATTAATACAAAACTTTGCCGTTTTTAATAGTAATTACAAATGTTGTATACTGTAGGAGGTGAGACTCCTAGATGACCCCAAAAATGAAAATAAAAATATCGAAGACCGTCGATTGAGTCCCAGACTCAAGAAAACGATTTTTTCCTACCTTTTAAGCGGTCCGATTGCGTCCTCTTGTATAGTGGGTAAGTGTTAAATACATCTCATATATTTGGCCCATATGGTGTGTGGATCTATTCTATTTAAATGTATGTGTTATATAATTTTAATTTACATGTTTTTGTATCATTATCATTTTATAACACTGATTGGCCAGAAATATATTTTTTTTAATTATTTAATCTTATATAATATTTGAACTGATTTTTGTTTATTTTTGTATTATTATTTTTTTGAATATCACTGACAAAATAATTACTTATTTGAGTTTTGTGCATAACAATACTCGAACAACATGGTATCTTAATATTCTGCTACAGGATATGAAATAAAAATCTATATTGTCATTCAAATAAATAAAAACTTAAAAATAACAGCGAATGTATTCAATAGTTGCTACGAAAATCTTATTAATATAGTGTTATTGATATGACTATACGCAATCGGAACATATAAGAAGGTAGGAAAAAATGATTTACCTATCTGACTCGTGGACGCAATCGAAACACCGGAAAGGTATAAAAGGTTGAAACGGAACGTAATCGAATGACGACCAGAAATACATGTGTAAACTCTGTATTAAATCTAAGCAATACACTACATATAAAAAAGGAATCATTCACAGCCAATCACAGTGGATAGCAGGACACAGACAGACGATGGTATACGGCAGTATATTAAAATATTAAATTGACAAAAATAGCAGTCTAACCGTCGTCGTCGTGTCGTTCCATGAACACATACACAATATATAGGTATAATTAATTAGCTGTGGGATAGCCCGGTCGTCGGTATGATAAGCTGCATGTGACGAGTGACGACGACCGAACAGTGTCCCACAGCTGTACACCGAAAACATAAATTCAAATAAAATAAAATCATACAATATTTATGTAAAATACATTCGAAGTAATTCACCAAGCATGCTCAACCCCCTTTTTTCAAAAATGAAATCATTCAAAATCTAATTTTTGGAATTATTTAATTTACTTAAAAACCATATTTTAAAATTCATGATACACTCTTTATTCTTTTGTTCTGCCTACTTATGGAGTGTCCTTTTTTACATTTTTTTAAGTTTCCTGACACTCATCGTCTAAACTTAAGTATTTAGGATTAATTTTTTTTCCATTAAAAATTCCAAAAATTAGATTTTAAACAACTGCATTATTAAAGATATAAAAGAGGTGAGCATGCTCTGTGGTTAATCTACATATGTTTAATATAGTCAATATAATACATGTCATCCAAATCTTATTAATCTTACATTATACAACATTATAATTATGTGTGATAATATTATTACTTATTAGTTATTAGTATAAGTAAATATTCTTAAGAACAGCTTATTTTAACTACTATAAGAGGTTATACGGGTTGGTAGTGAAAAATTAATTTAAAAGTTTAATAATTAATTTAAAATTAAAAGTTTATAGAATCGTTATACAGTGGTGAAGTAATTAGAAAAAATACAATTAATAATGAAAAAAACTGTAAACTTCATTCTATGATAAAATATTTCAACTGATTGTACTCTTTTCTAATAAAAGAATAATATAACTTAAAGAGATTGTTGTTGAAAATATTATATTGAAACCCATATTGAAATTAATTGAAATTTGGACCGAAAAATCAAAATTCAGAATATAGAATTGGAATTGAAAAGAACCAATATAAAGGATAAATATGTTGGTAAAAGAGGGATATTGTAAATCTAGAAATATAATAAATGTATAAAATAGTAATAGTAGTGTATAAAGTAAAAGGTATAAGGGAACATTTTTTTTGGTGGATTACTTTATAAATGGTTTTGAAGTGAGAAAAAGGGGGGAAAATAATAAAAATATAAAAAATATCATGAATGTTTTGTGCTGATGTGAAATTGGAACGGTAAAATATAAATATAGTGTTAAGTAAAATCAACCAGAAATCGTTATAAGTTATGTTGATACTGACGGGAGATGATTTTCCCGAATGTATAGGGATAACACACGATCAACTATTCTCGAGCTAGATATCCAGTAGAAAGACTAAAAGTAGGAATGAAAATCATTACTTTTGCAGAGGGAATTGTCAAATCCACAATCCGGTATATCCGGCGGTGGGTTCGTTCTGCCACCGGCCCAGTGAATGCTCATGCCCGACACGTATTCTAACGATTGATTTTTTCCGATATAGTTCGCCACTATCTGCCAAAATATAAAACAAACACACACACACGCACAAAATTAATGGTTATCCAATCACATTGAAAAAAAAACAAAAACAAATTTGAACAATATTATTTACTGTCACAAATCTCAATAATTCGTACACGACGAACAATATTATAATAATATAATAATAATAAAATAACTTTAATATTAACTATATTAACTATATTATTAATCTTAACTATTTTAAGATTGTGTAACGCAATTGAGTACTTCATTGTCTTCATTACTTGCAATGTGTTATTATAGTTATCACATGGATAATTATAGATAAACCGTTTACCCACCGAGTATGTGACACGGTACCAAGGCTCATGGCCGTTTTTTTATATGTTCTACCAGACGATTTATTGGGAGACATCGTGCCGAGTTCGTTAAAACTTTTCTCATCACAAATTTCAGTCATGAAGTGCATTTGTACGGTAAGAAAAATCAATTGATCCGACCACCCATTGTTCGAACAACACCAATTTTTGATTTTGCATTTAATATTTACACCTGGTGCTCGTGAAAGAGACGTACAAGAGACTGTTATCGTTTTAGTAATTTACATCAAACAGAGAAAATGCATTATCGTGATGATAAATTTAAATTGTTTTGCTTACATCATAGCATATTAGTTGGCAGAATGCAAATTACGATTGTATTAATAAATTATTAAACATAAAAAGCAATTAATTTAATAACATTCTTGAAAATAAAATAATTAACATTTGAATTAATTTATGTTTATAAAAATTAAATATGATACGTTTATTTTTCTTAAAAAATGTCCGGGTTTGTTAACCTTGTTATTGCTTTTAATAAATACGAAAAAAATTTTTTTTTGTTCATGAATTTTAAATTTTGGTTGATAAATATATATTCAATAAATGTACAATTTACAGACTTCCGACATAAAAAAACATACAGGTATAAGCTGACAAAATCTTTACTCATTAATTTATTTTTAAAAATAAAGCCGACCGGCTTTTACAAAATAGTGAAATATAATACATACTAAGTAGTATTTATTTTAGGGCATACTTTTTTTTTTGTATTTAAAGTACTGTCAGTTACCAAATAATCGAATTACCTAGTTTAAGATTCTGACGCTGTCAGTGAACGGTATAAGAATGCATCTCCATAGTGGAGAGGCCAACAATTATTGCTATACTTTTATCATTGAAATCGATGACAATACGATCATCTTTACGATCTCGTCGTATACAAACAATCTGTATTATTATTATGTTCAAAGTGTACCGTTTAAGGTGGGATTCTATTCATACAGATACAATGATTTCAACGCACACGTACAATATTTTCTACTATATTTTATTGCTAGAGAAAAATAAACAAAATAAATTAATATAATATAAAGCTTAATATTCTTTTTTCCATTCTTCCGTTATATATACTGTTGATACACCCTTTGGAATTTTGGATTATGCCAAGTAAAATGTTATATCGAATGTCTTTACCAAAAACACACCAACAGCAAAGCTCAAAAACAAAACATAATATTTAAAAATGTAATTAAATATTTAAACTCGCATCAAAAACGATTAGGATCATTGTTTCAATCATTTTTAAAATTGAAAATAACAGTGTTATTTTCAATGTTACAGACATTTAACTTGAATAGATTGTTTTTTCTTGAAATGTGTTTGTCGTCAATTGAGTTGATAAATACAACATTTTTTAGTTATGTATTTTAGTACCAGTTACCTATTTTGTTATACGAACCTTAAAATATTCACTACCTATTGAAAACCAAAACCGACCTTGTTAAACTAATATTCTAATTACAATAACAATTATATTATTATTGATGTTGTTGTTGTTGTTGTTGTTGTTGTTGAATTTGGCTGGCAATATTGGTAAGTCTACTTCAACGTGTCAAAGCGGCGGCACGCGCCGCGCTGTTACATCCCGGGAATCCACCACCCTAGCCAAAAATAAAGCGAATCGTATGGGGGGGGGGGGGATATTTGGAATATTATTAGGAGGGTCACCCTTGTTTGGACTCTGAGCCAACAACATAAATTTATGAACCCTCTTAAAAATAATGCATTTCTGAACGAGATTGTTGCGTTTTTTTTTTCTAAATATATTATTACTCCAGTAGAAGGTACTTAATCGTAGTCGAAACGTTACACACAAAATACTATTATTGAAAATTACCAAATATTGCATACTCTTGTGTTGGCACACATTTTGTATGATATATTATTATGCAAGAAAATGTTTTGTAAACATAAACCTTACGCACAAGGCACAGCGTATAAGACGAAAACGGTACTGAATCATGTTACCTACCTATATAATATTCCGTTCTAACAGACATAAATTTTACTGGTGGCATACGTTTTTTGTTTGGTTCTAAAGTAATTTTTTATCTATACCTGAACCACGCATTTTTTACAAAATCTCTCATGCATTTTTTTTTTTTTTTTGACAGTACCTATACTTCACAAGAGGTAGTAGATCATTTTACGTTATGGTCTATCCCTAGACCGCTATATACTCGAATTTGCCTAATTGTGTAACGGCATTTGCACTTGTAATATTATGAAAAACATACTATTACTGAATTGGTTTAATTATCCATCCTAAAATCATTCAAGCCGTTATGGATTTATACCGGTATTATGATATTACTATACATTGCGATATGGTTCTTATTTTAGATATATTTTTTTTTGCCATCAGTAATACTAATAAAATATTAAAATACAAAAGTAAGCTGCAGTGGACAGGTGTTTCACAGTGGTTGTCTTCAGTCACAAACCGTGTTTTGAGGTCAAGTATCGGCTAGTGTAACTAGTCCCGGATGGGTGACCACCCAGATTTTAGCGACAAATCCTCGGCACATATAGCTACACGTGTTCTAACCTCCCACCCCATAGTTAAGTACTAAATATCCTCCAGGCTAATGACCATAGATGTTGAAACCTTAACTAAAAAATAAAAATAATGATGATAAACTGAAAAAATCTTATAACGACAGTACAGTAAATATTCATAATATAATAACAATAAATAGTAACACGACGATTGGGTTGTTATAAAAATGCATTGAAATTTAGGCGAAATTGTATAAGGAATCGGTGTACTGACATACGAAACCGTCGATTTCGGTTAGTTTCGGAAGCGCTGCAATAATATTTTTATAGAGGTGAAACAATTCCTTTGTTTTGTGAGTTTTTTCAGCACGATTTCAGAACAAATCGTCATCGCGTCCGAAAGAGATGAGGGAGGATTCGTAAAAATTTCCGTCACGCACACGTCACAAGTTCTCACTATAATATATTATTATTATTATTATTTTCATGGTATTCATCGCCATCGACATAGTATAATAATTGTTGTTGTCGTTGTTGTACTGACGGACGGTCGTGTCTTGTACAACATCGAGTTGTAGGATAAGTAGAGATATTATTTTCTGTGTGATTGACGAAGCGCGTGCATCGATCGAAAACGTCTCGTCAATTCCATCGAAATTATACATCGCATCGTCGCATAATATTAGTGTTTACTGAAATATTACTGTACGGTCTGTATGTACGTGTCGCCGGCATTGTCCTACAATATATAATGCTGTTTTATATATTGTATAATATTATAATATTGTTCTGTGTTATGTTCGTGCTGCAGATGTTCAAACACGGATCGTCCATTCCGAGTATAATATACGATATGATGTACACGTGGATGAAACGATAAAAAAAACTGCGGAATCACTGTACCAATAGGTACAGAGTACGATCACAATGACGACGACATAACATGCGAATGCGCATCGTACTTGCAGGTGTTATAATGATATACGCGTAGATCCACCTTTTGGGGCAAGTAAAAATCTTGAAATTTGTCAGTGGTTTTAAGTAGAAAATCGGATCTAGATAATACTTCAGCGGGCCAAAAGTATACGATTCATGATACTCTCAATAGTTTACAATAATCGGCAGTTTGAATTAAAACAAATATTAATCGAAGCGACTTAAAACATTTTGCCATTACGGCATTACGTCTCCTATTGTTATTTAATTCATAGACTATGAAGTTTTCCAAATATTTAGATTTATTTTATGCTATATCTTATGAATTTTGTACAGACTACCCCGGGCCTATGTCATAGGGTGTGTATAATAATTGCAGTGTCCCCAAATCACCACTCCCAAACGGCGCGCCCGGGCACCCATATTACGATTTTCTTATACAGGAACACGCAGTGGCCCGTGCAATTATAATTTCCAGGTTAGGTTCAGGTCGTAATTGTATTGCCAAGGAGCTATTTTTTTTTTTTTTAATATTATAGGTAAAATGCGTCTCGGGGTGTTTTTCATTCTTTGCGAAAAACCTTCTGGCCGCCGTGAAATTGTAAACGATTCTGTTGTATAAAGCCGTCGCTTTCGGCAAGGATATAAATGTAATTTAATGGCACGATGTTGCGGAAAGATCGGCTTAACTTTTTCACCCTTCGTGGCACTAAGTAATTATATACATATAATATGTATTTATAGACGGCCGCAGACACCGTTTTTCCTTTCCGTTCACATTTCATTATTATCAATTTTTTTTTCCAAACACTTCTTGTTTCGTCTCGCGCAACACCTCAAGGTGTATATAATATAATGCAACACCGCTAAAGCTTCCGCCGCCGCCGTTAAAAACACATTTATCGACATAACGTTTAAGTCGCGGAATATGACAAGAAATCTAAGTCGTGCACTTGTTGGCTCTCTTTTTCGCTTATGCGCACGCCTATAATTTCCCATGTTTTTCGATGAGATGTACAAGAGAAGATATTACGAGCGTGTGTGTGTGCGTATTCATACAGAGACATTTTTTGATATGTACAGAAGAAGCTTTCTACCGTACAGAAAACAAATACACGAAATCACGGCATTATAGATATATCACATATTACATAATATAACGTAAATTTGGTAAACAGTAGATTTTCATACTGTTTGAAGAAAAAAATGGGT